TAAAAATGATAATTAATATGATACGGTATAAAAACGAGTAGTAAAAATCGTGTGCATACTTTTTTTTAGTTTTCAATATTACCTTTAATGCTCGTAGTTCGTCGTTACGGGCTATTTAAGTCCCCTATAGAGAGCCTCATAGAGGGGATATTTGCCATAGTTGCCACGCATGGCAAGCGGGTTGGCAACCGCAGTGTTTTATTTTTAGTAGTTAATAGGAAGACGCTGCTGCCCATCTCCTGATTTGTTTCCCTCTGTCGTTTCTTAAGACTCCCGTGTATGATATATGGTAGTGGACATTCTTACACCGCCCCTTCATGGTTTTAATGCTCTTAAAGTTAATATTATATCTATAATATAAAAATGAATCGCTGAATGTGTTGCTAAGCGCAAATCTCGAGAGCAGCTGAACCGATTTCGCTAATTCTTTTTTTATAATATTCCTTTAAGTACCAAGATGGTTCTTACGGAGAGAAAAATTTAAAATATTGCCTGAAAAAGTCTAAAAACAACACTTTTCTATATTCCCATACAAAAGCTTTGTAATAATACTTCAAAGTCAATTTGAACTTTAATACCATACCATAAACTTTAATTGTTAGTGGTGGGGTTCCGGGAAGGCAAAACAATTGGGTGACGTTAGTATCGTATAAATATTAATGTCAATATTTGTCAATATTTATACACATTGGCAGATAGCTGATGTTGTAAGGAGTAACTTGGGCTGCTTTTATTTTATGGTTCCGCGAAAAATAACTATACGCGGGTGAAGTCGCGGGGAACAGCTAGTATTAATATAATTTCAATCGGGGATTTGAGGTACTTTTGTATTTCATATAAATATTTCCACCGCAAAATGAAAAGAAATCAGAAAAGAAATAATTTTGTTTACTTATAGTTTTTATTGTAATAGTAGTTTCTTATTATATTATATAATTATGGCCTTGATTATGAAAAAGGTCGTGATAATCAGTTGCAAGGTTTAGGTACTACTGCCAGAAGCTGGAGGAAGCCAGGTCGTGACGGCGATAGAGTATATGTTCTTCAGAAATAAATAAACAAACCAATCTGGGTATAGACTGGAAACGGGGAGTAAAGACTTCAGACATCTGGTCCTGCCCTGGTGATTAAGCTAAATACTTTCTAGGGGCCTATGTAACCTATGTTCATCCTTACACTGCTATGGTGTAATTCACTACAGCCCTTCACAAGTCCACTGCTGAACATAGGTGTCCCCCAAGGAACACCACAAAGGTACCGTCCCAAGCCACCTGCATCCATTGACTTCCTACATGTCTTAACAGGTCGTCAATCCATCTAGTGGGTGTCCCGCCCTATACTTCGCCTGCCGGCACGAGGCTGCTACTCGAGAACCTTTCTTCCCCGTTGTTTGTCGGTTCTTCGAGCTACATGGGCTATGTCAGTTACTCTGGTTGTAAAGCGGATATCCTCGTTTTTAAGTCTATCACTGCTGGCCGTATGAGGAAGCTCAAGGTCGCTCAGCGAGCTATGGAGAGGTCTATGCTCGAGGTTTCTCAGCTTGATAGACTTTAAAATGTAATAAATAAAAATTTAAATTTCTAAGTCTCAATTTCCTTTAATGGAATTGAAGACAGATTAAATCATTAGTCACACGAATCAGAATAAACACTTATTATTACACAATTTAAATATAATACCGCTATAAACGTTTATTTCCCACGAAACTGAAGAATTTTTAATATACGTTTTAATTGTACATTAATTATGTATTATAAGTAACTTCATCACATTTTGTTGTTTTTTTGCTGTTAATGTATTGTTTTAAATGTATATTTGTAGCCTGCTAAAAGCTAACCCGCTTCGGTAACCATGATCGACTTCACGATACTTTTCCTTAAATAAATTTAGGAGCATCCACCTAATGGAAATACGACGGAATAACCTTGAGTTCAACACGTGGTACAGATACGCTGAAGCAAGAATGGGTCGGCTCGACCGAGTAGGACCATGCTCTCACAAAATACCAGCGTGAATAGCAGAATAGTGCTGCTGTGTTTCGTTTGGAGAGTGTAGAGAACGGAAGACCCTTTTTACTGGTAACGAAGTATTACATCTTGGTCCTCAGCGCTGACAACGCATCTGTATTTTGATTCTTAATCGATTTTAGATATAGATGTCATAGCATCCACTTAGCATTAGGTGGAATTATGAGCTCGTTTGTGACTCTTATTCTATAAAAATAACAACATATTGAAGCTTCCATCTAATTTTGGGGCAAAGTACGCTTTTACTACAAAATCCCAGAACAAGTTCAAAGTTTGTCAATCAACAAGTTTAAAAGTTTTATTAAAGAAAAACTGTAAAAAAGGGTTATTATAATATCAAGGAATACATGAATGAAAATAACCCCTGGGAATAAGGTGATCGCCACCGTGCTGGTCTATGAAGATGAATTTAAAATTGTATAAACAAAATTATTGTTAAGTGAAATTATGTTTAAAAAAAAGTCCCGCTGGGTTTCTTGCTGCTTCTTCCCAGGACAGAGGTATTTTCCGAACCAGTGGTAAATAAAAAAATGACTTTCAATAAGTATTATGTAACAATGAATATTGAATAAAAATCATTATATTCTATTCTATTAATTATGCGTTCACTTATCTCGTGTATTTTTGCTGTAGACTTCCAAAAACAACATAAACCTCATTCACAATGTATTCCAATTCCGACAAACATTGGTACCTTGTTTAAACTAACATATTCAAAGTAAATTTAATAAAAAAAAACCTTTTCAAAACATGTTAAATGTTTCTTAGAAAGTAAAATCATGTCTCTTTTTATCGTTTCTTTTCTACCGACTTAAAAAAGGAGGAGGTACTCAATTCGACTGTATGTTCTTTTTATTTTTTTTATTTGTGTCACCTCATAACATTTTTCTAGATGAACCGATTTGGGTGATTGTTTATTTGAAAGCTGGTGCTTCTCATGTGCTCCCATATAAATTAGATCAAGGTCTGACCAATAGTTTTTGAGTTATTCTTAATAATTTATATTGAAGTCGGTTGTACAAATTTTTAAATTTTTAATTATTTAAATGGTTGATTACCCCTTAACGAAGTAAATTTACTATCTACTAGTAATGGCGGCGTAAGATAATCCACACATTATCGAATCTGGTGTGTTTCCTGATTTAATGAAGCATAGTAAAGTATAATACCTTTATGCCATCAAAAACATAATTTGTAAAAAAAAAAACAAGTCTCGCAACTCAGTCCTACCGTAAAAAGTTGTGAGATCCATGTAATACCAAGTCGGTTAATTTATTCAATCCCAACAGATGGGTCCTTCTGTCTCAAGTTATTACGTAATTAACTAACATAAAATATCTTACAGTGACCATGTTAATATTAAAAATATTTTATGTTTTAAATAAATAGAATGACTGTCCTTTAGATGGTCTTAATTAAATACAAAAAATTAATATTATTTTATTGAATAGAATATTAGAATTTTGATATCTCAATAAAACAAAATATTACAGTATTACTTATTCATTCATTCATTCATTAAAACAATTTCACCAAGTAACCACACATACCACACCACAAAGCATAGTCCAGAACAAAGAGTATAGTAATATATTGGGAAGGTTTGGAAATTTTTACGTGGTAGAGCCATGCTGCAGCTATATTAATAGTATAGATGTAGCATGAATGGGTTGGCTCGACCGGGGCAGGACCACGCTCTCACAGAATACCAGCGTAAAATAGCAGCTTAATGATGCTGTGTTTTGTATGGTGAGTGTAGAGATCCGGAGACCCTTTTTACTGGAAACGAGGCATTCCATCTTAGTTCTCACGGGTGATAACGCATCTGCATATTGATTCGTAATCGAGGATGGATGTAGATGTCTATGGGCCACAGCAACTACTTACCATCAGGTGGGCTGTGTGCTCGTTTGTCATCCTAATTGTATTAAAAAAAAGGTAAAGAACTACATTCATACATCGACTTTCTACAGGTCTTGACATGTAATGCGATGGACAAAGTATATGCATTAATAAAATAATTATTAACTAGATTATTCACTGAGTGCAGACCCGATACTCTCGAAACTAGTAATGCAGCCCTCGTCGCCAGTCTGTGATATTTGAGTTCCGCATTTTTCGATTGAATTTTATGTCAGTCTAGCGATCCGCCCCGGCTTCGCACGGGTGATTTCTGAATCTAGACAACAGCGCCACCTATCGAGTCTAATTGTGAGTCTAAACCATCAAGGGACCCACTCAAACGCACATTAAAAATTTCATCTCAAAACGTTTGAGACGTTTTCGAGCTTTAGCGAGACTAACGGACAGCAATTTATTTTTATATATAGACTAGCTGTTCCCCACGACGTCGCCCGCGTGTTACTTGGGGTTTTAAATTTTTTTGCGCGAAATGATAATTCTTTTTCTAACATAAAAGTAGCCTAAGTCACTCCTTGTGACATCAGCTATCTGCCAGTGAAAATCCCGTCAAAATCGGTTCAGCCGTTTCGGAGATTAGTCAGAACAAACAGACACACAGACGGACAGACAAACAGACAGACAAAAACTTTAAAAATTGTATTTTTGTTATTAGTACCATATATATACTTTCATATGTATTTAGTAAAAAGCTGTAATTTTGACATTTTATTTATTTATTTATTTTTATTTATTTATTTATTACAAGATCCACAGCCCTAATTACAATGTAAATGAACTTAAGAAATAAACTTACAGCCAATAACGGATCTACTTTATACATTTTTTTAACTTAAATTAATCGACCGACAATCAATAAGTTTGAGCCACAAAAACATGGAATTTTAGAATTAACAATTAAAAACAGCGCGTCTATCTTTCTCTCTGATCTGTGTGTTCGTGTACGCGCGCTTGTGTGTGTGTGTGTGTGTGTGTGTGTGTGTGTGTGTGTGTGTGTGTGTGTGTGTGTGTGTGTATGTGTATGTGTGTTTGTATGTGTGTTCAATATACATATTAACCATTTCCTTCAAGTATTTCAAGAACTTCCCTCTTAAACACATGTCTACTACTATGAAAAATGTCAGTAACATTAAATTGCTTATTAAAAGTTCTATGCAATCGACTGACCAATGCGTTTTTTGCGTAATTTGATTTTGATCGTGTTACAGCAAATAATTTTGTGTGACTCGTTCTAACTTTCGGGGCGCAGAAACTCAGTATTTTGGTTGATAGTTCAGGGCTATCTATATATCCGTTGCATATTCCGTGTAAAAAGGACATGTCAGCAAGTACACGCCTATTTTTGAGAGTCGTGAGATTATGATAATGACAGGATTCATCATAGTTTTTAAAGAGGCAATGGGACCGATAATTTAAGTGTTTTATGAATTTTTCTTGCATTTTCTCCAAATCTTGAGTATAAATGATATACTGAGGGTTCCAAACTATGCTACAGTATTCTAGGATACTCCTAACATAAGCGTAATATAGTACTTTTAGGCAACCTATGTCTGAGAAGGGACGACTAACACGCAATACGAAACCCAGGCTTCTGTACGCTTTGTTTTTAATAATTTCTGTATGATCAGAAAATGTCAACTTGCAATCAATGTGAACACCGAGATCCCTAACACAAGCCGATTTTGCAATTTTAACATTACTAATATAGTATTCAAAATTGATTGGATGTTTCTTGCGAGTAAAGGAGATAAAAGAACATTTATTTATATTTATTCTAATTCGATTATCAGTATAATATTGTTCTAGACGGTTAAGATCAGCTTGTAGGCCAGTACAATCCATATCATTTTTAATTTTCATAAATATTTTGGTGTCATCAGCGTACATAAGGAATCGAGCGTGTTCGAAGCAAGCACCTACGTCGTACAAATATGAAGCGTACAGAAGTGGTCCCAGTATGGATCCTTGTGGGACGCCGGAAGGTATCGCAATAAAATCTGAGCAATTACAAACAGACATTTCAATTTTATCTGCCGACTTCCAAAAAGGAGACGGTACTCAATTCGACTGTATGCTTTATTTTAATGTGTGTTATCTCATAACTTTTTACTGGGTGAACCGATTTCGATGATTCTTTTTTTATTTGAAAGCTGGTACTATTCGTATGGTCCCATATGAATTTGATCAAGGTCCGACCAATACTTTTGAGTATTCTTAATAACTTATATTGAAGTCGGCTGTACAAAATTATTAATTTTAAATGATTTATTTGTATATTTTATTTATTTGATATAGATAAATCGGTCAACAGAGCATCATTCGTCATTCAACAAAATGTACTTAGAGATGTACATTTTCAGAAAGAGTCGGCATATAGATAGATATAAGAAGAGGTACATTTTCAATCAAGGAAAAGAAGTAGCAAGATTAACTTGTGTCGATTGCAATTACTTAATTAGTTTAAATGTAACGACAAAAGCGACATTACTACATGATGAATGTGTTGACCTTAAAGAGTGTCCCGTAACGATTGCTTGTTGGGAACCGGTCGATCAAGGTGAAGGCTGATGACAACTCGTGCGTACGAGTATAACAACTTACAGATAATTTATCAAACATATGCCTTTGTCAAGTTAAAATATATTTATAATAACTTAATCTATGGGGGAGTCCTATGGTATTTTGCAATGGATGAAAAATATAACTTAATGTGTTAGATGTAAAAAAAAGTGTGTGTGTACCTACTTATGTACGCACGTAGAAATTTATACTTCTTTAGCGTAACAAAACAAAATAAACTTGAAAGACAATTACCAACTGAAGATATCGGTGTCAGTGTGCGCGCGCATCGTAACAAATTCATGGTGTCGGTTTTAGGTGTCGGTGTGCGCGCGCATCGTAACAAATTCACTCTCATCATTTTTCAAATACCCCAAAAGAAGTATAACTTCAAAAATACATAAACAACTACACGGTGTAATTAATTTTTTTTATGACTTGATGAATAAACGACAAAGTTTGCTACTCCTTAAATTAAATATGCAAATATGTAAACGTTCTTCAGGTAGTTTTCAACATTTTTCTTGTACAATTGAACATAAATTTAGCCTCTTAGTACGATTATGTTAAAAGGTTAAAAGGCTCTTCAAGCCTTCTGCCGCACATAGGCTTGTCAAGGCTGACGTGTATTTCTTGAAAGATTCGCCCTTTTACAACTAGCTAGCTTTTAAATAAAACAATATACTTAGCTGCAGCGTGGCTCTACCACGTAAAATGTAACAAATAAATAGTTCACTGCGGGACACGAGCCTCCCAAATAGTAAAATAGTAGAGGGATCGGCATAATCACTAAGTTTCGCAAGCCGATTGGCAATCGAAGCACCAGATGTCTATCGCTTTCCTGACGCTGTTCTATTCAAAGAACTTGTAATGGTTCCGCAGAGTGTAACAATGCATCAAACCATTTTCTGCCGACTTCCAAAAAGGAGACGGTACTCAATTCGAGTGTATGTTTTTTTATGTGTGTTACCTCATAACTTTTTACTGGGTGCACCGATTTCGATGATTCTTTTTTTATTTGAAAGCTGGTACTTCTTGTGTGGTTGATCAAGTGCAAACCAATAGTTTTTGAGTTATTTTTAATAACTTATATTGAAGTCGGCTGTACAAAATTTTTAATTATACATGTCAGATTACAGGGAGTAAGTGCAAGAATTTTTGTTCCCGTAAATTAAGAGAAACAGTGGTCACCTTTTTTAACCGACTTCAAGAAAAGGAGGAGGTACTCAATTCGATTGTATTTTTTGTGTTGACCAGTAGCATTTGTGTTATCATTAGTAATTTATATTAAAGTCGGTTGCACAATTTTTTTTATTTTTAATTATTTTGTGGCCGGTGAAAGGAAAAGGGGAGATCTTCCACCGGGCAAGGTGTTCTGCCCGGGAAGCGGCCAACGCTCCGAGTGGTAGTTTGGAGCTATTCTATATATGCTGCTTTAACTTCGGAACTTTGTTAGTGCGATTTAGGCTTCGATGTGTTTCGCTTGTGGCGCGACGACAGCGCCGCCACAGTTTATTTCCTGATCTTCTATTTATACAACGAGAGTATAGTTGTCTGGCCTTGAATATAAAATAAATAATATTGTGATTTTGAATTCTGCTTATATATAATATTTTAATTATTATATATAAGCAGAATATACAAGCATTAATTTAATAATCCGGAAGTGGTAATTTAAAACACAATATAAAACGAACGCGACCAGTGTTCAATACCGAGCCGACAGTACTGATGCACAAAAAACAAGTTATTTTGTGTCTGTGATCTAAAATTATAAAAAAACTGCGAAAGTAAACCACAAAGGCCGCTGACATTTACCATAATATATTAAAAATATTCGAGGGAGTAGATTTTCTATTCCATTCCCCACTAGTATTTGGAACACATGTGCCTAGAACAATGTGGTATTAATAATTACGAGTATCTCTTGTAAATATTTACGATCTCAATGTACGGTACATAACTTTATATAAAGTTACAGTTAAAAGCTGTGCGTGAGTAAATGTGCGTGTTTTTTTTTATAGGATAGGGTGAGAAACGAGCACACAGTCTACCTGATGGTAAGTGGTTGCTGTGACCCATGGATCTATCCTCTATCCTCGTTTGCGAATCAAAATGCAGATGCGTTATCACCCGTGAGGACTAAGATGGAATGCGTCTTTTCCAATAAAAAGGGTCTCCGGTTCTCTACACTCACCATACGAAACACAGCAGTTTTAAGCTGCTATTTTACGTTGGTATTCTGTGAGAGCGTGGTCCTTCCCCGGTCGAGCCGACCCATTCGTGCTACGACTATACTACTAATACAGCTGCAGCATGGCTCTACCACGTATAAAACTTTAAGTCGGTGCACACAGCAACAAGCATTCCAAGATGCTTGGTATTACCTAAATTTTGATTATCAAAGGATTATTTGCATGCTATAATAAGGCATGATTTTTAAGTTCTGATTTACCACGTGCTCGGCGGTGAAGGAAAACATCGTGGGGAAACCTGCATGTCTGAGAAATAAGAAAAAAAATATTTCGAAGACATGTGAAGTTCGTAAATACGCATTGGGGCAGCGTGGAGGACACTTCCTTGCCCTAAAACCCTCTTAGAAATGAGAGGAGGCCTGTGCCCAGCAGTGGGACGTTGTATTTAGGCTGTAACTTTAACTTTTAACTTTAAGACATGAATGAATCACTATTTTTGAATTTTTTTCTGTACATCAGTCCGCCTGTAAATCTGTCTGAGTCACGTCCGAGCTAATCTTCGAAATATCCGAACCTATTGTGATGAAACTTCACAAGCAGGTAGAAAGCAATCCAGGGAGTGATGTAAGCTATATTTTAGCCGAAAAACACGCAAGACTTTTCGAAATCGAACAACTGATAAATTAAATGTTTTAATGATTATCTTCTTAACCATAAGAGATTACGGTTACAAACAAATTTTTTTGGTTTGCTAATTTTTAAATAAAAAGCACTACTACGCCTACCCTACTTTTTATTTTGTCTCTGTTTATATTTTTTTTACTTCAACGCCATTTTACAATATAATTATGAATGTTAAAGGAAAAGGTGATAATCCCTCTTTACTTTTATCATTCATTTTCTACCGACTTCAAAAAGGAGGAGGTACTCAATGCGACTGTATGTCCTTTTTATTTATTTTTTATGTGTGTTACCTTATAACTTTTTTCTGCGTTAACCGATTACGATGATTCTTTTTTTATTTCATAGCTGGTGCTTCTCGTGTGGTCCCATATAAATTTGATCAAGGTCTGACGAATAGTTTTTGAGTTATTCTTAAAAATTTATATTGAAGTTGATTGTACAAAATTTTAAATTTTAAATTGTTATTGTAAACATTTTCCCATATCACACATAGATATCGATACAAAAAAAATCGATTTTTTTTGATAATTGAACTACTTGGCCAAATACCACTAATATAGATATATATATTTTTGCTTGAGTTCTATGGGGATGAAGTCGCGGGTAAAAGCTAGTTAAGAATATAGTTGCGAGCGTAGTGATAATTTATTTCATTTAACGGCGGCCATCCTTGTCCTGCATCGCGGACATTATAAATGGTGAAACAATCACAGATAAATAAAACAACAGATTTAGATTAGTCTCATTGCATAATGTTAACTATAAATTATTAATTTGTATATTAACACAGTGTTGCGATTACAAAGGTTCATTTTACGAAATTTTAAGGAAATTATACGTTTTAAATATTTATGCCGACCTAGAATTTTAATTTATTAAGCTGCTTTAATTTATAAACACGCAAACAATTGTCTTGATATACTTCTTCTTTCTTTATATTTTAAAGTGATACACTAGCCTTTACGTAAAAGTAAGCAAATTAAGAGTACAGGCCATATATGTCCCTCTGTTTGGCACGGACCACCTCTTATATCTGCGAGGGTTTTACGTAGGGTTTACCAACTCTCGAACCCGGGAGAATTTAATGAAATCGGGGTTAATGAAAGAAAATCTCAATGATTTATTAATTTTAAAATTGTTTTTTTTTTGCTTTCGCCGAAATCATCTTCGACAACGACGACGCCGCGACGAAACGAACAGATTTATACCGGCAGCGGCGCGTTATGTGTGTGTGACCGCAAAGCGAGTGAGTAGCGACACGTGTCACGTGCGAGCGGAGGATGCGTATAATTTTTAAGCCTGACGTCGACTACAGCAGAAATGCGTCGAATCGAAGCGAGTCGCATTTACTCCTAGTGCGTCCATCTCTGACGAATCGAATCGAATTGTTCATTCTTCAACAAAATAGATCATATTTGCGTCATGCACAGCTCGGATGAAGAGATGTTTTTATTTCATCATGATATAGTGGATTTTCATGATTAAACAATTCTGGATATTGTTGAACCAGTGATATCAATAGTTCTTCATTCATTTTTATTTAAACATAAAGATTTTTACGAAAACGAAATAGAAATTAAA